AGTTTGTATGTAATGTGTAGGAGAGAGCTTAACACCAAGTGAAAAAAATATGGTGAGTGCTAGCTTTTCCTTCTGGGCTTTGTTGCTGTTGCATAATCGTTGGTATATTTTATTGAATAAAGCTGAAAGAGCTGAGGAAGACTCATGAACTAGGTCTGCCCTTCACCCACACATAAACCTGTGCTTTTGTGCTGGAATCCTCGAGGATTTGTCACAGAAATTACATGATCTGTGTCTTATAGCAGCAGCTCTAATCTGTGCTTTTTGATAAACATAGGTGTTTCTGTTTGCAGATGCACTTGATGTTATGTAAAGAGATAGTGTATAACTGGACAAGCAAAATGAAGGAATGGGAAGAGAAATTGTAAAGGTCATTCTCCTTTCCTTAATCTTTTTCTTCTTAAGATACAAGTATGAGAGAGAACTTGGGAATAATTGGTTGCCTTTGATTTTTAAAGGGCAGAGTATGATAAATATCTATGTTGTTCTCTTGAACTCTATAGTGTTTCTTATGAAAAGGAAAACTGAGTGTTTTTTTATGAAGAACATTCAGATGGTCTAGCAATGTTATTTTATTTTTATATGCTTTCAGAAAGGCCTTCTTATAACTCTCCTAAGCCTTTTTTTAAGGCTTTTTGTATAAATGTATTGTTCTTGTTGTAGGAGCTGTTCAGTTAGGACACTCGGAATATGCATATTAGTGTGATTTGAAAGGCACCTTTGAATAACACTTCTAAATATTTTCCTGCATTTGTTAGAAGATGCATTCTAAAAAAAGCAAACTCGAGAGTGCTTAATCCTTTGTTGGCAAGTACCTTTTTCTCCCTATACTATAATTTGTCATTTAATATACAAGTAAACCAGAAACCACTAAATAGTGCAGTAGATGTAAGGGAGGGAGATGAAGCATATCTGTGGTGGTGAATTTCTGATGACCTCCTGCTCACCTGCAAAACTAGTTTTAAAGCAACCATCTTCTAGATTTGAGCTTCTTTTGGCAAGTAACTATTGTAGACTAAAGTTTAATATCCCTGTTCCTAATCAAATAGCTAAAAACTGGGGTGCTAGAGAAAAGGACTTAAATGCACTTAGACAAACTGTTTTGTTGTCTTGTGCTGTCTAAATGCAGAAGTTAGCATTAGCCTATGATAGTGTTGTTGGAGTGTTGCAATTAGAAGTCTCTACGACAGCAGAGTAATTGGTTAGCAATGCAGTCCTGATACTCATGATGCTAATCTTGTGCTTCACTCTGCTCCACGCAGCTCGATCCCATTGTAGGTAGCGGTGGCGTGTGCCCAGCCCGTTGGGGATGAGGAGGAGCTGGTGGAGGATGAGTGTCTTCTGTCCGCAACAACCATCAGCACTCTTCTGCCTGTCAGAGCACCAGAGGAGAGTTGTGTGTGGTCAACAGGGTTGTGTGCATCTTGGCAGGGGGCTTCCTTGAGAATTGTGCTTGGAAGATTCCATTCTCCAGCAGTGAAGAGGGCAGGTTGGCACTACCTTCTCTTTCAACCTCTCACCAGCACACATAGTCTTGCAATGAAGTTGGACAGATTGGTGGGCTGTGAGCTGATGAAAGGAAGAGTAATATATCTGTTACCACACACAAAAGTGTTAGTGATGTGAGCGTGCTTACTGGTATAATGATGCAGTGCTTAGTAAAAGGTGAACTAATCCTATGGTATTGCTTGTTACTGTTCTGTGTTAACCGGGAAGGTGACATTTAAATAGTGACTGTAAGAATATTCTGGTTTTGTCAAGTGAAGAGAATTTCCCTTTCTTCATTCTCTGTTATTCAGCCAAGTAGAGTAAAATCAAGATTTGGATTTTTTAGTTGTGTTCCCCGCTCCTTTCCCCTCAAGTGATTTAAAACTTACTGGCTCATTTGAACGTACAATTAAGTAGTGACCACTCTATAATTTTTCCAGCAGTCATACCTTTTTTTCCCCCCCCTCTAATTCAAAATCTTCTTTGTTTCCATTTCATCAGTCAACAGCCTCAAATCCTCTCATCTTCTACAAATGTGAGTATTTTTGTTTTCCAGAACTATAAAAGATACAGGTGGAGTTCCTGTGACGACACTTCCTCTGTGCAGACAGTGCGTGCTGTGCTGCTTCTCATGACAAGTCAGCCCCTCTCCTCAGGCAGGAAGTGCAGCAGAAGCTGGAGAACAGCAGATGAGATAAAGTGAATTTTTTGCCCCAAATAAGGCAGGAGGTGTTTTATCAGGAGACCTACTATGCATCTAACCCTGCCATTGTTTTCTACCCTCCTCTGTTCCCACAGTATG